GAATTTTATATATTATATTTTATTGTCCACTCTCCAAACTACAAGTTTGGAGTCTAGACACATTTTTTTTATCTTCTTTGTACATCTCTTCTACTCCATTTGTGTGTACTAGCATAAGTTCAGCATGTTTCTAGTAAGTGAACCAACGCATGTACTCCTGCCCTGAGTCAATCAAGCGATTATTTGACATTTATATTTGATGCATGCAGATCTCTCTTCCTACCTGCAAAGAGAGTAGTGTAAAGTAGGCGTAGTGAGTGGATCGACATATAGAAAGAAAGAGCAATAGAGTCTTAGCTCAACATGATTGTTCCACAAAATCATTCTCTATTCGGAGCTAGTCGAAGTCGATCACTCATGTCGAGAATTGAATTTAAATGAAAAAAATAATAAAAAAATTACCAAAATTTTAAAAAATACAATTACATATTTTAAAAATTTGTCAAGTCAAAAACAAAAAGAGTTCATGAACATATAACAACACACACAGTGGAACACAAATCTTAGTCAACATATACATGATTTGTCGTTCGTGAGTTATGAGAAGAACCATGTATTCATGTATATTCTAGTTGTTGCTCACCGTCAAATTATACTTACTACTTAACAAAAACTTGAATTTATACTAAAAAAATAATTTAGTAAGCAGCTAGTTATCTCTCACTTTTAGCTAATTATCCCTCAGTCTACTATACTTTCTTTTGTAGAGGTTTGTGATTGATCAAATGCATGAACGAGACGGAACAAGACGAAAATATAGTGTTTGTGGAATATGTGGATGCTACTTCTAAAATAGCAACTTCTTTGTAAGTTGACGGAAGTTTTTTTTCTCCACTCTGCCTTTCTATAGCACGACGTTTCGCGTTTTATTGCACGACCTTCAATGGCAATCAAGAGAGTGGTCGCTCAATCACTATTCTCATCACTGAATAGCTCCTTGACAAAACATTAGTGACTCCAGAGTATCCAAAAGTACTTGGTCTAGAGAGATGATGTGGTGGAAGGTGCAGAGTGATCATGCTGACGTTGCGCTTTCCACCACATCATCTCTCTAAACTCCTCTTGATTTTGCAAAGAATCCCAGATCAGTGTTTTGTTAACATGCTCTCGGCGAACAACAAGAACCCCGATTTCCATCCTTCTCACTTCAGCTTGGCTATAGGCATACGCAAGTTCTTGTGGGATAAAAGGAATGTGCATGATGAGAAATTCAGATCCGGATGGCCGTAGTTATAGTTATTACTTTTTGATTTCAAATCTGCTACGGTGCACTAGACACAAAATTACTATTACCAATAATCACATCCAGTGGTGCACGTAGGTACCATACACCAATAGAGTGCAAAGTGTTGTTTTGAAACTCAGCTTATTTGTCTTATCACACTTGAGTAACTAATGTAAAGAAGAACACTTTGAAATAGAAAACAAGGTCCAAAGTATTTTGTCGCTTATTTGCCTCATCACACTCGAGTTACTAATGTAAAGAAGAAAACTTTGAATAGAAAGCAAGGTCCAAAATATTTTGTCGCTTATTTGCCTCATCACACTCGAGTAACTAATGTACAGAAGAAAACTTTGAAATAGAAAGCAAGGTCCAAAGTACTTTGTCGCTTATTTGCCTCATCACACTCGAGGAACTAATGTAAAGAAGAAAACTTTGAAATAGAAAGCAAGGTCCAAAGTATGTTGTCACTTCTTGTGTACACCAAACTATTTTCATGTGAATGAAACTCCGCTAACTCATAAAGAAGTAGCACCCACCCACCCCACAAAAACTATATACCAGGCCCGTCCCGTCCCTTCATTTAATCAATCATTGACCTCTACAAAAGAGAATATAATAGGGTGAGGGATAATTAACCAAAAGTGAGTCATAACTAGCCGCTTCCATGTATTATGGTATTAAAATTATTTTTTAATTTTAAATTGAAGAATAAAAATTTGAGAATTTAGCTCATAGCATATTTTATATCAATAGTAACATAATGAAAAATTATATAAACTATATAACAGTTTAAATAGAAAAATAAGTAATTTCTAAAACAAAGTATTTCTAAATTATTTTATTCTAGGAATATGTTTTTTTAAATCATAAGAATATATCGTAATATTTAATCTATAAAATATTGATTCTTGATTCTTCTTATTAGTCTTTTAAACATAATTTATGTATCATAATTTTTTAAAATAAAATATTAATATTTTTTTAATTGCATATTTTGAAAAATTCTAGCAACACTTTTATGATTTTTTTTGATTAAAATTCAACAAAATGTTACCATGTAGCATGATTTCCTTCTATGATTGGCTATATGAGTTTTGAAAGAAAATGATCAGTTATTCAGATATAATATCAAATTACTACAAATGTTATATTTAGGATGCATTGTTTTAAAATAATTTAAAATATGATAGTTTAGTGATACATTACTGTATAATATCAATGCTAGAATTAATTCCATGAGATCATAATGTGGACTACAAATGGATTCATGTAGAGGGTGCGAGATGACACCTGAGGAAGATTTTCACATCCTACATATTGAAATTGGTGGTGGTCCAAATCTGCCCAATAAATAGAAGCAGATATATATTTGAGTGGCATTGATGAACCCAAGTTATTTTTGGATTAGACTTTCAATCACTTTAGGCTTCTCCGCTTGAATCAAGTCTTCAATCACTGAAGTAAATTGTGATGAATGCATGTAACAACCTCATGTCATAGGGGTACGGTAGAAGAGATGAATTTCTAACCCTACAAAAATGGAGAGGACGGACGATTCATTTTAGGCATAGTGAGTAACTAAAGAGGATTGACAATTAAAAAATAGCCATTTGAAAAAATTAATCCATCACAACGTTGATTTCAACATATATAATTTATAATAACAAATATTGAGATGCATGTCATTCAAACTCTGAGTCGCGAACCGCAAACACGACTTAATTCATAGACGGACTGTTTACGATATTAATCATGTTCTTAAGGGAATCATAGCCTAGATTCGGGGCCTAGAGGAGTCAACGAACCTTTTGATTCCTGGCCCGATATAGTCCTACAGTATCTCAATCCGTTGGCGGAAAACATGAACCTGAATGGACTGCACATTCACGAATTCCGCCGACGGCGGTTACGTCCCAAATGGTCAATGCATTTCCGATACGGCCTGCGACCGATCGTGCCCTAAAATCGTCGCCATAAACTGAACACTGTAAGAAACTGGGATCTGCTGCATAGCGCAATCTCTCTCGTTTCATGCAAACAGCATTAGGCCGTGTCAGCATGGAAACATCGGGCCGTCTCGGAGACCCATTCAAATGCATCACTTTTTATCGCTCGCAGCAAGGGAAAACTAAAAGAGAGGAAATTTTATCGCTCGGGCATTTAAAAAGAATGTGGAAGCGGGATCGGAAGTGCGAACGGAATTCACGAGTAGATATTTTACGGATTTCATATAATATTTTATTTGGGGAAGCGATATCTCCTTTAGCTTTTGGATTCTGGACATGATGTTGTGCTTTCCCGAGACAAACCTTGGTTTTCACGTGTTTAAATTATATAATAATGAAATTGCTGGGGACTAAAACCAGTTCTGCATCTTGGAATAAAAGAACGTGGTGCCTGTAGAAAGTTGTGGCATTAAAATTAGAATTCTTGCTCCCTATTAAAAGCGTCGCCCAAATTCGGGTTTGGTTAGTTAAACATGACTCACTCAATTTCCCCTTTTCGATGCATGGTTTTAGATTTGTCTAAGCGAGAGTTTGTGCTCGGGCGTCCTCTCGTCTTCGCCTTCTTTCTGTTCATGCTTGTCATGTGCTTCTTAGGTAAAGAGATCCAGAGTTCCTCTTACGTTAATGGTGTAGTCATCAGGCGGAAAAGTGAATCTGCCGAAATTGTTGGTCCCGATCGGCCTCATCATGTCGCTAATCGTCGGGTCCACCTCTTCGCTCGAACAGGACGGGTCGGAGGCGGCATGAAGACTGATAAATTGAGGCTGATCAATCACACGAGCAGCGGAGGAGGAATACGTAGTCCCACCCACCGGAGGCATTATCGTATCCACCCGGGGAATAGTGGATAACTACATGAATCGATCGAACATGCCATGATAATTTTGTCACTGGAAAGAGGATTGATGACTCACTGCTAACCTCATCAAATAGATGAACTGCCTCCTTATGGGGTAAGCAAGGGAACAATCGCCCAAAGTACGTGCCAGTACACATGTAGGACCTATATCATGCCAATCGCATCTAGGTCACTATCCTTTACTTTCTTGTGGATGTGGGATAGGGCGCTCTTCAACCGGTCATGCATCCCTTGTTTTGCATCCTCGACAGAGATGAAGGAAAGACTTTGTGTCGGCTTAACCCTACATCTCGTCACATGCATTATCACATACTCCGGGAATATTCCACTTCTTTAACCAGCCGAGGAGGCCGAGTTTAACCTCATTCTTTGGGCAAGCAATGTGCGTAGATACCTCTCATTATCCACGTTCACTGTGAAGAGAGGGATGATGGGAGAGCTATGAGTGTTCTCATCTTCAACTGTTTGATCCAATAGATGAGACCCAGGCATGCGCGCGTCTTGACAAGTAGGATGATAACCCTTGCCTGCACAAGCACTCACAGTTGGAACACGTAAGGGAGCATCACTGCCGGGTGCACATATTGAGTCCTGGAGTATAAAAGTACGGTCTCGAGTACATAGAGATTGGATGGAAACGACGGTAGTTCACGGATATGCGTATTTAATTCCCGGCGATCTGAATGATTAGAAACCGTGGTCGCGGGGAGTACCGACTTCGAAGACACTCCTGTGTGGGACTCGGGAGGTGAAGGCGAGAAACGTGAAATTGTGTTCACTTATAGGTAGGCCATGTGAAAAGAACAATGCGGAACGCATAACATGTGAGGAGGGCCGACGGAGCATGCAGAAATCGGATCTGAAATAGGACTGAGTGGAAATAAGTTGAATTATCATTCAATTATCTAGCTTTATTTCTCATAATTAGAGCCAACCGAAAGGTGGGCATTATTTTCCATCTTATTGGGGATGGGTGTATCATTGTGGAGAGACAAATTGAATGGGAATCCGCTTCATACAAGGTAGAGCTCATTGATGTTTTCAAAACCACTTCATGCGGAATTTGGACCGAACCCTACAGTTATTGGACATTTATCACCAGCCCCTACTAACGAGTGTTTGCCTATTATTCAACTGTTGGGAGGGAAACCAAGTCGACAAGGCGATGTCGTTCTACCCAATCCTTCAGCTTCAGGGCCCCAAAAGGTGGGCAGCAGACTCCACAGAAAGACTCTTGGACTGCTCTGACCAGGCTGCTGCAGGTCTCGTGGCACGTTCCTTGTGGAAGAAAAAGCTCCATCGATGGGTCCAAACGGGGTTCTGGAGGGCCACTGGAGCCAAATATTTTCTCTTCAATGCGTTTTGAACGAAGACGAACCTGAGCACAACTACCAAATTGTCAGCATTTATGTGAGCATGTGCCCTGGTACAGTTCCACGGTCTTTCACCCTCACCTTGTGAACACTTCGTGCGTGGCGGACCCTTCTGCATAATTGTATTCAAGGCTCGGTAAAAAACTCGAAACGTTTGCAACATACTGTACAATGTACCTCGCAGCCTTTGAAGCTTACCTTCCAATTGTCTTTTCTGGTCATGGATTTGTGTGTACAGTTGAAGCCAGTTTCACAGCATATTCGACTTATTAACTCCGGTCTGGTACAGTTCCGGGCTAATTTCACTCTCCAACCTTCGAGTTTGGAGTCTAGACGCATTTTGCCTTGTCTTCTTTGTACATCTCGTACCCTCCATTCGTGTGTGGCCGCATGAGTTCACCATGTTTCTGGTCAGTGAACCAACACCCATATTCCTGCTCCGAGTCAATCAACCGGTTATTTGACATTTATATTTGGTGCATGCAGATCCCTCGTCCTAACTGCAGAGGCTGTACTGTACAATAGGGGCAGTGAGTGGATCGACATGGAGAGAGAGAGCAATAGAGTCTCAGCTTGACATGATTGTACCCGAAAATAATTCTCTATTCAGAGCTAGCCGAAATCATTCGCTCATGTCGAGAATTTGAACCTCAGCCTACTTCGGAATGCTGCGAAAAATGAAACAAAGTACTCCAGTTCTCTCGGGTTATACAGCGGTGACGGAAGATGCTTTCACGTCCGTATAATATTTTGATTCTTCACATCCAGGATGGTCGGACTGTAAAACTTTAGGTCGATCAGCCTGACGGAGTGCGGAGCAAGCGGTTTTGGGAAAAAAGTAAGTATACTATGATGTCGCAGATCGTCCGGGATTAATCCGGTTATAAAACATCGTCATTTATAGATGATTCGATGTAGAAAGCGTGATACGTGCCATAACCACTCTTTGTATACGATATTTGATTTTCGAAAATTTTGAAAAATCTTGGCCGTTGGCTGGGTTCATCAGCGGCGGTCGTCAATCGCTGAGACATCTTTGGACGATAAAGCTGCGGGCCGAGACGCTGTCCACTTCGAGTTGTCGCAATTCACGCTCCTTATCCAGATGCTAATCGAAGTGGAGGGTGCCAGTAAGTTTGACGAGGCTAACAACTTGTACAGACTGGCCTTTGGACGGACCTGGTACGTGGTAAGCAACCATCCGTTATATATTTTTGTGTGTGCCAAGGTTTGCCTATTCGTACGTGTAAAGTAGTGTTTTATTGGAAGGGGCTTGCAATTTGTTCCAAGAATTCCATACAGTGGTTCCAACTTCTTGATCAGACAAACTGGATACTGCGTAGAAAGCCAATTAGCAGGTGGAGATATTACCACGGCCGTGTTTACCTTATCATTTCATCCACATGTCCTTCTCAAGTTCCAGAAGCACCGAAATTTATGTTCAGACAGTCTCCTACCTCGATGAAAAGAAAACGAAATTATAATTTGGAAGAGGCCAAAATCGGTGTCCAATTAGGTAGCAGAGTGTAGGGAGATGTCAGTCTGGATCACAGAAATTGAGAATATCTGGACTTAATTTAGTGGAATCCGCTATAATCCATTCACCTATAAATAGCTATTTCCCACCTATTTCTTATTTCTTTTTACCTGACAATGAAGCAGATTATCAGATTCATAGTTTTCGAAGGTTTATAATTTCGGAAGTAGATTCAGTCATGCGTAGGAAGTCATTTCACATAGTCTACCATTCAAAGGAGTTTTCTCGGCTGGAATGTGTCACTAGTCTTGTAATGTAATGTAAATCTAGAAAGGTAATGTAAAACGTAACATGTGTCTTTACCTTTTACTTTATTCGAGTCACTACTGTGTACCTGTACCCTTCACTTTTACTTCAGGGTAATTACCCGATTACATAGTAAGTTGCTTAAAGGGTTAAAGGTTATCCTTACGTCACAGTTACCGATAAATCTATTTTTAGGGTAGAAAGTAGAGATAATAGTGTAAATTACCCGTTTATCTTCAGCTGCTAACCTTGAATGGAGAGCCCACAAGAATACTGCAACCCCGAGTTTATACACTTCGTGCATTCACGAGAATATACAGAACATGGATTGAGGTATGAATTACCAATTCCACTTAAAATTGCATTGTTGTTTTCTGGATCAAGTCTTTAAATAAAATGTACCGAATTATGTTTAAGAAGTTTTTCGGGGTAATTTTTTTCGTTGGTGCGAGGGTTACCCGATAATTACCAAGTAACCTAATTGGCTTTACCTTTACGTAGCCTTATAGCCAACTTGTTACGAAACTTGTTACGAGACTCGGTATCACCATACATTTACATAGCTGATATGTTCACTCACACCTGCATACATAAGGAACAAGAATATGCACACAAAGTTATCACAAATAACACGAAATTCAAAAAAGAATCGAGCCAAATTCACTCCAATCGAACACGTAGAGTCCGATTGGATTTAACCTAGCAAGAACTTACAAACTCGTTACACAAAAGGTTCAACTCGAAGAATTGAACTTATGGCCGCCTCGCCTATACTCTCGATCGAGAGCGATCCCACCTACGCCCCTCGAACGTTACCCACCTCCCAACGTCACCCGATTTAAATTCGAATCCAACGTGTATACACATGACAAGACCTCTACCTTTTATCCCGTAACCTTAGAAGGTTACGTTACCTTGCCGAGGTCTATGTATCAGTCTAAAAACAAATAAGTGATGGACGAGAGACCGAAAGGCCAAGATAATGAGACGGAGAAGTACAAGCGGTTGCGAGACCTGAAAAGGAGATTGCACGCGATTTGGACACGTGAGAGGACGATGACTGCATTTTATACCGTAAGCTGCATATATCTCTCATTGATTTGGTTACTACTCTTTTCAGTTGCGAAGCCTACTGAAAAGGTTTTGTTGCTACCCTAAGTTTTCAGATATTGTATGGGAGCATCTATTCATCTTCTGATGTAACTCTGTTGGATTTTGTGTACCTTGTTGATTTTATTTGTCTCTGCGGTTTCTCACATTCTGTTTAAAGTTACTAGTGGTCTGAACGTTAAACACTAGTAGTAATAATGAGGATAGTATATAAATGCCATACTTATGACTAAAGTGGCGTAAAAATCCAAAACTTGTTTTGTCTTCTTTCCATGTGTTCCCAGTTTGTGGCACTTTTCATAGCTTCAAGCAACTGCATGCAGGACAGGAAGTGGTAGCTAATTGGGATGCAATTTGTGTGTTTTCACTTCCTAGAAGTGTTTAGTAAGGCGGTAGCGAAAACCCTATAAGTAGAAACATTTCCAATTTACTATTATTGGAACTGTTAGACTAATTTCGATAGAAGTCAACGAGATGTTAAGTGAGATCTGTTCACAAGGTATGTAGATTATTTTACAATGACGTGATACATATATCTTTCCATCAATTCTTTTTTGTGTTGCACGATGCATTATCACGCTATTATGTATACTCAAGTTGGAAGAGTTGGGTTGAAGGAGAGTTTGGGTTTCACCCGATAATAGACCATTTCCTTTCTTTTGTTATTTTTAAAATGGAACATTCTACTCGTGAACCTCTCGGTGTTTGTTATTTATTTGTTTTTAGAATGTTTCTTAAGACAACATAAATCTAAACCAATGATGGACGACGTAACCTGGTAGCCCCTACTATCCTTGGCTTTCTCAGGTTGGAAAAGCGAAATTTGGTTTCACCCTGAACTGTCTTGACCCGATATACGAGAATACCCATAGGGACATTGCATCACGAATGCTTACCGTTTAGTATTGCTTTAGTAGCGGGCAGGAGTAAAATCGTACACGTATGTACTATGGATAACTCCTCCGTATAATACATGCATCCATAACATGCAGTGCATCTATAGTAAATGGTAAATGGTCTATGTACCGCATGTAACATCGCACCTCCTTGGATTCATCCCTGTACGACTTGATCGGGTCTTCCTATCATCTCTTTTGCTATCTTATTCGCGCCTTCTTCCAACATGCAGCGGTTATGCAGGTTCTTCTGTTTCTTGTTTTACTGCATCGTATAGGATGTTGACCTGACCATACGACTTTTTATTTGTGTCTCTTTTCTCATAGTACAGGCAGTAGTGAGACTCTCGTCGTGCTGACTTGGACTTCCGACGCCTTTTATGGCTTGTTTCGGATTTCCACGATCCTATATTCTTATACTAGTTTGCCTTCCTTAAGGATGGAACCTCCTATTCTTAGCACGCACGAAGTTGGTCTTCTCTTGTCTCAAGCAAAATGTGCACAGAAGTTGTTTCTTTAAGTGATTAAATTATATATTTAATAATTATTACAAGTTGAAGCCCATCCTGTGTATGTCAACAAGATGAATGACATTAGAGCATTAGGACGAAACGGAAATTGACTAAAATGAAGCAAAAATTTGGAGTGTATTGCATTTTCATGATTTTGATCCTACATCCTTCTTAGAAATCGACAGATTCTCCTGTGTACTCGTTGAAAATATTTCTCCCACTTGAAAACACTCCTCATGGGTTGAGAGTGATGTGTCACACTATATACATATGTCGAAACATAACATTGATAACTTCACACAAGTGAATGTTAAGAATTATATTTAAGATTGTGTATACAAGTTTTCACACATTCACAGAATCTGTAAAAACTTGTGCACTACAAAATTTGCTCTGTAGTATCAATATGCTTGAATGCGAAAACATACACTAGAATAATTATTAACATAAAAAGAAAGCAAAAAATCTTGTTGGCTGAAAAACTGGAAAATTCATTTAAATTTTTAAAAGGTTAAAACCAAAAAAATGAAACTAAACTAATTCATTTGGAAAAATAAATAACTATATTTTTGCTAGCATGATTTGATGTTAAGTGAATGCAAATTGATATATGGCAATTTTAAATGGTAATACACGTAACCATAGCATCTCAAGTAAATTTGAAAGAATGTTTTGGTAATTTTGTCATTGCATATGTGATATTTCAGTGGAAGCATTTGTCTCATTATTTGTCAACAATTATGGATGCATCATTTTGAGAAGGAAAATGTTATATTGACAATAGATGCACACAGATGGCACGTTCATGGTAAATTTTTTCTTACAAATACACTCAGATTTCAAAATATATATATTAAATAATATGCATGTGAAGGTTTGTGGCTCAACGATCCTCTTTGTAGACAAAAGATCGCGTAAGATGGGTCTCCTTGGGATAAAAAAACCATGGCAATTTGTCTGACTTATCAGCCTACAGTGTCCGTAAGAAAGCAAGGGCAACGAATATTTTTATCTAATTTTTTATCTTGATTACACTAGGGACGAGAACTGACACGCAGAAAATAAGGAACTGTTCTGACGGATTTCAGAAACAACAAACAAAACAATGAATGGGTAAAGGGGAAATACTGGCAAATTAATCATCCGATTGAACAAAGGCAGGGAGGGACCAAGGGACAAGAACTACTTACAACGCGTAAAATCGGGGGGTTCTGTAACCCACATGTGCAACGAAGTTAGTTGGTCGAGCTTCGGGGAGATTCGCCAGAACCATCAACTACACAGTATACAACGGCCACGTTTGGCTCGAATCAGTGAAGGCATGTCCTTAGGAATTAGAAGCTCTCGCAGAAGGGCCATGACTGCGACGCGAACCATGTGCAGGTTTCGCAAACCACAACTTTGGGAATCGACGACGGAGAAAGCTTCGAGCACTGCGAGAGGTCCATCGGACGGTCAAGGCCGTATCCGTCGTAGGTGCTGAGCAGGGCTCCCGGCAGAGGGAACTGCGTGCGGCAGCGGACTGCAAGGAAGCACCGCCCCCGGGTACGCCCTATAACCGGTAAAGCCGTTGCGCAGGTCGAATGAGTGACCAGAGAGAGAGAGAGAGCGTCAGGCAGCGGCGAGCGCGCTGCCGCTGCCCCCAGGGTCCTCCCCCCTTGGCCGCCGCGGTATAATAAGTCCCCGAAGCGCCTTGGCTTTGCTTCCGACCGATGGTGGCTTTGTTCTTTAGGGTCCCACACCGAAGGTGCGCTCGTTCTCTTGCACCTAATCCTGCAATGACGTCGCCCACCGCAGGGCCCGACACACAGCGGAGACAATGGTGACCTCACCCGAGCTAGTCGGCCCGCTTCTCCCCGCTGGCGGCACCCTTGATTGACAAGCAAGCAAGGTTCCGCAATGCGGCCGCGAAATTCGCGTGAGAATCGACGCACGAACAAGGTTGCGCCTGTCCCGGGTTCGGCAACAGCGGATCGCGGATTTGCTTCAGGCTCTCGCGGATACAGTCGTAAATTTGCAGTCGTGGTAACTTTGGGGTGCAATGAATTGATGTACGTGCGCGGTTGGTGATTTGACCCGCCGGGTAGTACCATGTCGGGGAAGTGAACGGAAGCCGGGCGATGGATTTCTGATTTTCTGACATGGCCTTTGGAGGCGGATGGCCACATAATGCGACGACCCATGCTAGGGCCGTAGATGAATGCTAAGCGAGAGCAGAGCGAACCGAGGGGCAGGGAGGGCAGGGCAGGAAGGGGCAGGCGCTCAGGGCTGCGCTGGGCACGGGAGCGGAGAGCAGGACAAAGCTGGGGCCCGACATTTGAGGTCGTTTTGAGGTACGCTCGCTCTTTTGCTCATGGACGGGCCGCGAATCAGCCATCATCCTTGAAGCCGCACCGATCGGGACAAGGGGGAGCAGCTCGCGGGAGGTCAAGGGTTAACTCGGAACGTGAGAGATCGCCCAGCAGATCTTCCGAGATGCGATGCAATGTCACATGTTCACGCTCGCGCTGCTGCTGAAAGTTGGGCGGAGTCAAATTTCAGGCCACGCAGGGCAGATTGAAACGACGCCAAGTGTATGATTGATGACGGACTTGTGTGGACAGCAGAGGGTACATTGCTAATGTCGCGAAGCAGTCCGGCAGCTTGAAGATAGAGCAGAGAACGGTCGGCGCTCTGGACTTCTGCTGGCTGCATCGAAAAAACTCCAAAGCGGTGACAGTTGAGATTTGGGTTGTCCGCGTCCTCCTTGAACTTTCGACATCGAACCGCGAGGCGAAACTTTTTTCGGCATATTGCTCCAGGAATGGAACGGCAGAGGAGGTGCGGTGATATTTCACTATTTTTTTCGTCATTTAAAGGAATTTGTTCAGTTAAAAGTCCTCCCCATTCGTTGGGTAGATCTGCCAGTGCAGTCCGTACAGGCCGAGTTCAGCTGAAGCAGCACACCGTCGTTCAGCTCCGTAGGTGTACTGTGTGTGAGTTATGTCCCAGTGCCTCCCCTGTCTTCTCCAGTCCGCAGCTCGCCTGCACGCTATATATTGTAGCGGGATACCGTGTTTATGAGCTGTAGCAGACTTGGGTCCTGAGAGCATGAAAAATTCATGCTCTCAGGTCCCAATCTGCAAGTGCGTTGAGACGGTTGGCATTGGATGATTACCGTGCAGAGCATTGTTCATGGATGGTGTCATTTTCTTGAACTGACTCGTTGGAGCTGATATGCAATTTTTTCCGATCAGGAATTGCAATTATCAATCTTCAAGTTTCAACCCATTCTATTTCAGTCTCTTATGCTGAAGCAAGGCATTTTTATTCGTGACATTCGCAGAGATGCACAAAAAGAAGGATGTTTACATTCCTAGAGCGTGATGAGAACTTAAGAAGAATGGAGACAGTGGCATACAGAGCAGCAGCTTCAGCTGGAAGCTGTTGTCGTACCTGAGAACGGTCACTGGGTGGTATCGGGTAATGTGGGAAAAACCGCGTGTGATGTCCGAGGGGATAATTGCAGTAGGAGTCGTCACGAATGTACACCATGGATATGATGAAGGGAGCTCAGAATTAAAATGGACTTCGAGTGCTAGCGATTGTACTTCAGGTTGGCCGTGAGTTTTTGGAAGTTCACCAGCTCAAACCGCAATTTACCTCCGTGGTTTTTAGAGAGATCTGAATTTTTTAAATAGGAGGTGATGTGTATCACCAACATTTCAAACAAGGTGTTACAAAACTTAAATCTTCCAAATTGTGTAACACCTTGTTATAAATGTTCTCTAGCAATTTTCTGATTTTTTTTGATTGTGTGACATGTACACAATCATCAGGTCCGACAATGCTATCAAGAACAGGTGCAACACGGAAGTGAAACAACGGAAATTGCAGCATCTCAATTCACTATGCCGAACATGGCTGTTTCCACCACCGTCCTCGAGGCGCATGCGTCCACGAGGGATTCCGCCTTGCATAAACAAAATACTCCGCCACTTCCTCCCATGCCGCTCTCATGTGCCTCCTTCCAAGGCATGGAACGCGAGTTCGGAGATTATCCTCTAATGCCCACCGTCTCGCCTGCATTGCTGCAACTTTCGGGGAACCGCAATTTGTCACCTACTCTTTCTCACTACAAAATGCCGGCGAGTGGATTCAACAGTATGAACCCCGTGAGCACGCCCGTGATGCATCCCAACTTGGTCATGACTCTGAAGTCGATCATTTCTCCCTCTCCCGATATGTGCGACCAGGCGACGAAAGTGGCCGAGACGCTGAAGGGCGTCGAGGGATACGGTCAGCAGCAGCAGCAGCAGCAGCAGAGCAGTGACATGGACAGCGTTCTGACATCGAGCTTGTATAGCAGCGGCACTCCGCCATCCGTGCTCAAGCAGGAAGTATTTCCGCCGGGGGAAGTCGACGACGACGAAGCTGCTGTTGTGTCTGTCGACCTGATTCAAAATCGACGGCCTTTCAAGTGCGGATTCGGAAGCTGCAACAAGACTTTCAAGAACCCGCAGACCATGAAAATGCACCACAAAACTCACTACTCGGACGATTCATCCTACAGGTTCGGAACGAATCCACATGTTCTTTCTACGGTTCCTTCAGCCTACAAGGCGGGCCACAACAAGAAAATTCCTTCTCGCTGTCCCATATGCAAGAAGACATTTGTGGGCCTTTACGAGCTCAGACGACATTTCGGACGTAAGCATTCCGAGGGCGAGAAGACATTCGCCTGTAAGAAGTGCGGAAAAAAGTTTTACATCGAGGTGGATCTGAGGGATCACGAGAAGCTGTGCGGAGAGCCAATCGAGTGCAAGTGCGGCATGAAGTTCGCTTTCAAATGCAATTTGGTCGCCCACAAGAAAGGGCATCCCGAATGTCAAGACCATCCACCTTCCGCCGAAGAAGATCAGCAACAGCTAAAGCAACAGCAGGAAGGTAAGGGTGTCGTAGCTCCTTCGACTCCGAGCGAAAGCCCGCGGTCCACACGAGATTTATATTCAATGAGACATAATCCGCGTAGCGCTACCCGTTACCGGATGGGTACTGTTTTCCCTAACCCTTCACCATTTCATAATCCCATGCACGATCTTTTCTTCAACCAGACGAAGCTGGACATAATGGCCAATGAGTCATCTCAGACGACATTACCAGAACTTCCGCTTATGTTTTCGGACAATCAATTGAAAGATGTTGCGAAGGTGACACCTCAGCAGTTTTCATCACAATCGTCTTTAGGAGACAGTTCACTTGTTCCCTCGAAGCCTTATTTTCAATCGAAGGGTGCTTCTACGATTGTCAATCCGCTGTCATCTCAGTCATCACCGGGATCACTCTACAGGCAGAATTATCTTTTCTGATTTTCTGTGCGTGACGGGTGCTTTGACTTTCTCTCGGATGTTCGTGACGGTTGGACCACGTTCAAACCCTGAGTGGCGAATTGGCTATCCAGATTGCCACAAGACAAGTGCCAGGGGTTGAAGCCGAAGATATGATGTAAGCATTCAGCTGAACGGCGTGAACAGAGTCTGTAGGCTGTTGTACAGTAGAGACCGAAGGCTCGTTGTAAATCCTGGGTATGTTGTGGGTATCTTGGCATCCTGTTCCAGGCAGCGAAGGTATTTGACGACGTGTGTGAATTTCATCCGACCTTTTTTGGAGGGCCGATGTGTGCTCCCTGGTACATTCAAATACACCTTAGATCTTTTGGAGTTTAGGACATGGTTTGTAGTCTCGAGGTGTAGGTAGAATGAATCCTCAAAACTCTTCTGAAGTAAGAAGTCTTCCAAAGATTAGATCTTCTGCTCGGAGAGCGTCACCCAGACTACAGTCCTGAGGCATACTTGTGAAATATTGAAATACATCTATCTGTTGTTATACGAACACATGTGCAGTTTTGTGTTCCGTTTTTGTTCTTTTCTACCAAAGAAATAGTGGGTATCAAATTACAGATATTACGCGCGTTTCGGCCGTCGTATGTGTATTCTTCTCGTCGTTTGTACGACTTGCACCGGTTCTTGTCTGTGATTGAGTCGAGTCTGGTTAATGGATCACTTTATGCTTGGAGTTCATCAGAACTTCACAGTACGAGGTTTATGCAATGTCTAATCGTAATTGTCTGCTCTTTCTCTTTCCTGCTTCCGACATGATAGTTCACCTCATTTCTCACTCTCATTTGTTCGCGGTCTATTTCTTGCATCTATTCTGTCCCTCAGCGTCTGATGTGGTGGTACTTAGTCCGAGGCAATATGTGGATGATTCATGGCTCTGCTAGTAGCCATGAATTATATAATCGTGACGGCGAAGGTACATGATAGGGAGCTCTACCTTCCAGATCTTCCGTGGTCATGAATTTAGCATTTTTAAACTAGTTTTTCAGCTGGCTGTACATTGAGCTCTTCGTGCTTAGAACATCTGATTACGTCTTCTTTCACCAGCTCTTTTCTGAGCTGTATTGTAGTTGATTACTTCTGACATTGACTTCATTGTTGCAAACTGCGCAGCTTAGTTTCTTGAGTTTCTTCTGTCTTTCACTTGCTCCTGCTGTTTGAATTCAAGTTCTTATGTGATCACACAGGGATGGTTGTTATCCGCTCAGGAGAATTGCAGACATCGCACATTTTGTTTCTGAAGCTCTCATTTGCTTTAGTGTTAAAAGGTTTCGCTTAAGAAGGTGGCCATTTTCTTCCGTGCAATCGCTTTCATCACGAGGTGGCAATCCTGGAATATAAAACACAGGAGGAAGTGTTTCTATCCCTGCAAAACCTTGTCTTATTTCGGAGTACTGGAACGCAATGATGTGCCCGCATTGTCATTCCGTGCATGCGAAGTCGAGCGAGCGTTGACAGACGGACTCGTCTGCCCGGGCTGCTACATGATTGATGCACGAGGAGGCGGTCGACACGGAAGATCCCCATTATGCCATTCGTTGCGCATGTGCATTTGGAAAAAACGAAGGTACCCAGCGGGCCGAATCTCTCAAAGCTCGCGCGGGGATGCCTGTCTGTCGAATTGAAAAGATAGCGCTAGACACAGAGCGAGACGGGAGTAAACATGATTGCGAGAGACTTCGCCGGCCGCGCCCCTGCATGCTCGAAGAAAAAAAGCAAAGGACAAGCAGCGGAAGCAGCAGCATCTTGTATACTTCCAAAGCAAGACATGTTTCGCTTGCCACCATGTGAGTGATGAAACTTTACATCTGCCCGATTTCACGTGTCTGGTGCCATCCGCTTTACTGACGGAAGTGGTGAGTCTTCCCATATGTCCCAAGTCCACGCGTTTACAGACCGCTCTTTTATTTTGTCAGACACTTGATGGTCTCCAGTGCACAGCCACGGCCCCCACGGCCCACCATTAACTCCACCTCGACTCCTACTCAATGGTGGTCACAACGTTTTCAAAGATGCAATTGTGATTATCAAATCTACTCATTGTAGCTCCCGTCACTCGGCCCCCGCGACAATTTAAATGTCCCTCACTCATTCTCTTGGACTTCGCCGCACTATTTTATCCAAAAGTATGCTCTCCGCTGGTGTCCCTGCCCAATAATTCCAAGAAATAACGTTAGAGCTGCCGACGGGCAACACCTGCAATATCGGCTGAGCAAGCCTCGGCCGACTCGGCCTAGTCTCGCTCAGACCCCAAAGCGTTAAAAAAAGCGCAGCCAAACACGAGAAGCAAAATCAAAATCGAATCATGGCGGAAGTACACATTCCTGTTTGTTCCACCTCGTTCAAGCTTCTTCTCCTTTCCCTTTTTTCTTCTTAAACCTTCAGATTATACATCGGAAGGAAATGGTATAGAACGAGGCAGAAAAAGCGTAGAGAAAGAGTTTGCCACACAGAGTGAAAGGGAGGGGACCGCAGTGAAGTCGATGAATGAACGTTGGGAAAAGAAGTACAGACAGGACAAGGCTAACGAATTGGAACATATGTTGGATACGTGATGATCTAGGATACGAACATCAAGTATAAACTCTTTTTCTTTTTCAATAGCAAAGTGTTCACTTTGCTATTGCTCTAGGGAAACTTTCTCAAAAATTGCTGTTAGCATATACAACCTACTGAATCAAAGACCACAATGATGAATTCTCAGTTTAGCTTCCAATATGATACTGTTGGTGACAAAGTTCTTTGGGGTCACGTCAATGTTGATGTTTCTTAATTTAATTTGAAAACAATATTCTAGTTCAAAATGTGTAAGAAATGGCTAAGCAACAGAAAGGTAATGTAATTTAATTCCCATTTAGACTCCTTGCCAATAAAAGTAACATCTTAATGTTACTTTTGCAATGAATGCGGTTGTCACGAACTGATCTCTTGTTAAAGATGGAAATTTAGTTCCCGATCCTATTACGGTTGGTCACACAAGTTGAAACTTGAGAGTCACTCAAACTGACCGTAGGAGTAAATTACTTGATGAACCACATCGTTGCACAAATCATTTATTGGAACCCATCAAGTTTTATTATCGTGGATCTAGACCTGATCAAATTAGAAGTGTGTATAAATCCGTAAGGGCAACATATCAAAATATAGAGAGAGGTTTCCGAAAACCGTTGGAATCAAGTTTTACTATCGTGGATCTAGACCTGATCAAATTAGAAATGACTATAAATCCGTAAGGGCAACATATCAAAATATAGAGAGAGGTTACGAAAACCGTTGGAATCATGCTCTAGGTCACTTCATGCACATATGCTTCTTACAAGCGCAGGGTTCAAATTAAACCTCAACGCATTTCACTTCAATCCTCATGCAACCACGATATTGGATCTCTGTCAAAATCTCAAAACAATAAGATGATTATGCATAGAGCTAGGATGTGACAAAGGTGATGCGATCACAATGCTCTACGTGTAACAGCGATCTTTGCTATAGATACAAGTGTCAATTGACTTGACACAATCGGAATTGATTGTACCTTTGATTGATACTACAACATGGGGACGGTGTACCGTAGATGGGTACCATTGGGTAAACCCAAACTTCATGAATTGAAGTGAACAATTTGTGTTATAATGGGGTACCATCAATGTGTTGACTAGCAATCTTAAACTCTCCATGTTAAAAAAAAAAAGTACCAAGGAATGACGGTTGATACTTGAGGAAATGTTCCTATTTATATATAATAATATAGCAGTAAACGCAGTAGATGTCGATCATATCCCACTTTGTGCTGTTTCACTGGGCGATTCCGACAGTGGATGTATTAGTCATAGACAGGCATGGTTTTATAATCACTCGTCTAAATTAACGGTATTTAGGTAATTTAGTTAATTTAGTCTACTCAAAAAAATTTATTTAGTCTCCTCAAAAAGGTTAATCTAGGTTAGTTTAGTTTACTTAAAAGTTAATTTAGGCTAATTTAGTTTACTTAAGAGTTAATTTAGACTAATTTAAACTCTAAAAATTTAGTGTTGTTTAATTTAGGCTTCTAAATTTTTTTTCCTAAAAAAATTAAATAAATAAAAAAATCTGTCAATTCTGTATAGGTGTCGACTACTCATTAGTTGCAACATGTAGGCGCCAAATCACACACACCTTAATTTAAATGCGTTATCACCAGACAGTTTAGGTTATTTAGTCAACTCTAGTCGCCTAATACAACCATGCCTCGTCATAGACGATTGAATCACACCCGTGATCTTTTTCAAATCTGTTGTTTTCCGCTCACGGCCGATTTATCTCTCATGTTCCATATATGCTTGTCAACAACGACACGTGTATTTCCTAGAGAACTGCAATGCTATGTGATCCGTTTGCTTTATGAATTACTAGATATCATTATACTTTTTCACATACGTTATGAGGTTTTTTCCATATCAAAACATTGTAAACAGAAATCATAAGACCTACTGGTGACAAAAAGACATTTGGAAATCAAGTTTATAAGTTCAATCTCTTAATTCTTCACTCCTTTTACTATATCTTAGATTTGAATCTTAATCTCTACACACTTGGCCCTTGAGAGGTCTAAAAATAAGTTTATGATTTCTTTCGCACTTTGAAGCTTTCATATGAAAATCCAAGGAGTGAACAGAAAAGCACAAACCACGCTTCATGGAAGAAAACATAATTACAACAAAAGAACAAATAATTAGGCCAAGTAAAATCTGGAATTTGACCCGCATTTGATATGGCAATGTTGGTCTCACGACCCTCGCAACTCTTCCAAAGTACAATAATTTCACGTACCGTCATCATCGTCACCACTCTCACATTTGATTCCATTGTGACTCCTGTCTCCCGTTATCAGCTTTCCCTTATGCTGCGGCCGGTCTGGACTGGGACTGCTAGAGAAGTCAGACAATTCTCCTGATGCATCTCCAAAGCTTCAGGGAGATTTGACATTCGGGTAGCGGCAGATTCAAACTCGGAAAGAACCACAAATTTTGAACTCCCAGAAAGACACGTTCTTGATATGCTCGTCGGGTCTACGCGTCCTACTCCGGGCGCGGAGAGATCTTATTGATTTTGAGTATCAGCAAGTATGCTTGCTCTATAGCACAAGATTTCGAGTGACAGTTTTTCAACAACTTTTTGCCTAGCGTTGTTTACTTAGAAATGGCGAGCTTCGAAGTTCTCTCCTATTTTACTAAATGGAACATACGCTTAACATTTGATCATATGCTATAACCTAGTAGATCAAATTTTCTCTTCGGTGACAATGAGGTCTGACACATAACCTTATACGAATATGAGCTATAGCATTCTAGGAATTTCAATGGGCAAGATTCAAAAGAATGAGAATTAACTGATGAGAGAATCAAATCTGCCTGTGAGTGAATCATTCACTCCTCGGTTTTCAACCGGCCGGCTTTAAATTTGTACGAGATTCTACATTTCTATGTCAAGAAATTCTCTCTTTGGTTACAATGAGCTGTGACACAAAAGCTCATACGAGTACGAGCTATAGCATTCTATGAATTTCAATGGGCAAAATTCAAAAGAATGAGAATTAATAGATGAGAGAA